AAAAAAAAAAAAAAAATTGCCAGGCCTGGTAGTGCACACTTGTAGTTCCGGCTCTTTGGAAGGCTGAGGCGGAGGGATTACCTGAACCCAGTAGGTCGAGGTTGCAGTGGCTGTGAGTGTGCCACTCCACTCCAGCCTGGGTGACAGAGTGAGACTCCTACTCAAAAAAGAAAAGAAAAGAAAAGAAAACTTTGAAAATTACTCCTTTTATTCTGGGAGGATCGACTAAAAGGATGAAAAGTTTGATAACGTGACAAATGTATCAAATGCCTCCTGTGTCTAAGAACCGCGTTGGGGACTGAAAGCGAGGTAAGGACAGATGTGCCCCGTTGAGAGGTGTGGTCTAATTGTTTTCTCAGGGGCTCGACTCCTCCACACTTCCTGTTCTTCCCTCTCAGGACTGGTGCTTTAGACAGGTTTGACCCAGGATGTATTGGTCTTTGTGAGAAAAGAATAAAAACAGAGGCAGCCTGATTTTACCCCTATTGGAGCGTCTATTAAGCTACAAGGTTTAAATGAAGAGAGAGTGGAAACCAATGACTGCAGGTTTTGAAATGACTTCTAGATGTCTACGATCCCTTCTGGGCATACTGACAGCTGGTAATTAAGGCTTGGCTCTAATACATGACCCAATCCAGACCCCTCTGTTCCCTTTTATGAAGATGCCTACAAAAAGGCAGTCTGTAGGGGGAATTTGAGTCTGGGGCTTCCTTGAACTTACATCAAATTGCCGAGTGACAGGAGGCACAGAAAATCCTCTCTTGAAGCTGTAGCCGCAGTCACCGCTCCAGATGTGAGCACGATTTTGTTTCTCTCGCCGCCCACTAGGGGTCAGGAGATGACATCATCAGGTAATAGGCAGCCTCTAGGAGGCTGTGTGCTGAAATGCAGATCAGCTGGGACCACTTCACAGGGCTTGGAACACGGGCAGTGACTGCTACATAAGTGGGGTTTTTTTCCCTAGAGACGAGGTCTCTCTGTCGCCCAGGTTAGAGCGCAGTGGCGATCATAACTCACTGCAGCCTCGACCTTCTGAGCTCAGGCCATCTTTCCGCCTCAGCCTCCCAAGTAGCTAAGGCTACAGGTGTGTGGCACCATGCCCAACTAGGGGGAGGTTTTCTGAAATGTAGTTCTCCCAAATAGTAATAAAATCAGTCATTCCATCACCCAACCAATCATTCCATCTAGGACTCATAATTGAACCTCATGCCTCTGCCACTTCGGCAAGTTACTTACCCTTAAGTACCTCACATAGGGCTTATGCAGGATCAGTGACACAGAACCACCCACCAGAGTGGCTGGCACCTTGAAGGCACTACTTCAATGGCAGCTACAAGACAAGCAGGTTGTAAGTATGTCTTAGGGTATATGTACAGTTTTATGACTTCTCCCCTTTTAAATCAATGTTGATGTTTATTATCATCTGCTTTTACTTGTACAAAAATACTGAAGCCGGGCTCGGTGGCTCAGCCTGTAATACCGTGCCTTTGGGAGGCTGAGGTGAGTGGACTGGCTGAACCCGCGGGTTCGAGACCCACCTGGGCAACTTGGCGAGACTTCATCTCTACAATAAATCAAAAAATTAGCCGGGCGTGGTAGCGTGTGCCTGTAGTTCCAGCTACTTGGAAGGCTGAGGCGGAAGGATCGCTGGAGCCCAGCAGGTCGAGGCTGCGGTGGCCGGGAGCGGCCACTGCACTCCAGTCTGGGCGACAGAGTGAGACTCCAACTCAAAAAAAATAAAATAAATAAAATAAAATAAAATAAAAAATATTGAGGGAGAACTCCCAGAATCAAATTTCCTGTAGGTTCCAGGCACCCCCTTTTCTCACCATAGCCCTAACTGTTGCTGTAATTCACCTGAAATATAATCTTAGTATATTATCCCTAAAAATCTTTACATTTTCCCCACTGAAAAGAGAAGTTCTAATATATCTCAAAGCTCTGCCTCATGCTTTTAGCAAAATTTGGTTGCTAATCCATCCTGATTCAAACTCGTATGTGTATGGAGAGTATATATTTATTTTAGAAAGTAAGTTTGAAAGACGATATGCCAAAATATTGATCTATTTATTTCTGGGGGGTAGTAAGTAGATGATTTTATAATAGGAGAATGCCTTCCTGCATTTTCCAAATTTTTTACAGTGAGTATATGTCACCTGTGTTATGGGGGAAAAAGCATGCTAAATATAAACAAGAAAGCAATAAAAACAATAGGCGTGAATCAGCAGTTAATCCACATGCCCTCAGCATCACACCCAGTGCACAGCAAGTGCTGACAAGCCCTGGTGGAAGGAGGGAGCAGCTGACTTGGCTGCTGACTCAGCCAGTGACTCAGCTGTTTTGTGTGTGTCAACTGCTCCAGTGTAATAGAAACATCAGGTGGGGAATGTGGCGGTCCTCGCCTTCGTCACAGAACACAGGCCTGACGCCCACTAAGGGGCGTCGTGGGTGAGTCCTCCCTGCAGGGGAGTGGCAACCCACACAGGTCCACACTGCCCACCCTGACAATATGCATCCAACACTAATGTCTGCACTGAGCTCCTCTAGAGGCAGCAGTCATCCAATTAAATATTATATTTATATCTCATCTGGTTCCAAAATATTTGAAGTGTCTCACCCAGTTGTCATTTCACTAGACTATGAATGAATAAGAAGCAGGATACATCCTGTTACATAGTTCCTTACTAATACAAGCTAATGGTATGGACTACTTTGCATTGTCTCATGAATCAAATTAAATTCATTACCTAGATGGTGAGCACCTATTATCTGCAAGGCTCTGTGTCTGGGGCATGGACACAGGCTGACAAGATTCCATCTCTTCTCTCAACAGGGCTTAGACTCTAAGGAGACAAACAAATCCACAAATAGAGAACAATGAACAATGTGATTGGAAACCACCAGAAAGGCAACCAGCCACCACTCTGGGGGAACAGAGACCATAGAGATCACACCACTTAGAAAGGGAGCAAAGGCAGATGTCTCAATAGACCTGTTTTAAATCCAAATATAATTTGTGTATTTTGAGAGCTTGACAAATAGTTGAAAAACAGAATTTCTCTCACTCTCTAACAGATTAATTACTAGCAAACAAAATAGCAGTTGGTAAATACGTTTCAAGTAATTGCACTATTTAATATATTGTGGCTATCAACCAGATGTGGTGACTCGTGTCTGTAATCCCAGTACTATGGGAGGCCGAAGCAGGAGGATCACTTGAGCCCAGGAGGTGGAGACCAACCTGGGAAACATAGTGAGACCCTGTCTCACACACACACACACACACACACGCACACACACACACACACCCCTATATATAAATGTATGAAGCTACCTTTCAGCATCATACAATTAACTAAATGCACTGAGCTCTGCGATGTGGATGTTCCTTTATCCACTTGACCGATCACCTTCCCAAGAACATATAGGTTGCTTCCAGTTTGTTGCCCTCATGTCCAATGCTTCAAAGACCACCCTCAAAAATACACTTACTCATCTCCTCAGGGTAAATTCCTAGAAGTGAAATATCCAGGTCAGAAGTAATTCATACCCTAAATTTTAATACATATTGCTAAATTTCCCTCAGAAAGTTTCCACCAATTTATCTCACCAACAGTCCATGAAAGTGCCTGCCTCTCACACTCTCACCAATACTAAGACTTGTCAATGTTTTTTCTCTTTGTCGATAGCATAGCCAACTTATGATAAATAATTTAATTTGCATTTTTCTTGTTAGTTATATTGGATATACTTTCAAACGTTTATTGTCCATTTTTAAAACAGCAGATAAAATATGCCATTCTGATAATGTCAAAAGTCTATATCAATCTATCTGAGGGGGACCCCAAAATAAATAAATTAATAAATTAATAAACGTTTAAAAAACATAATTATCTTTTGGAGGGCAGACCCTCTTGTATTACAGGTTTCCCCTGCTAAGGAAGTGTTCTAGGAATTCACGGGCATCAGTGTACCAGCCAGCATGGCTGTGAGAGACTGCATCCGGCTTCGGTGAATTTGTTTTTTGGAAAGTCATTCAGCATATTTGCCCATTCATGATGGGTGATTTACGAGCATACCTGCCCACTCTACCCTGAATGTTCAGCAGTTTTTGACCCCAAATGGGATGGCCCCCTGTCCCACCCTCTTTACTCACCTGATTTCACTGCAAGTGACTTTTTTTGTTTCTCCCGATGAAAAAAAGTCCGCCAAGGGAAACGTTTTGCCGATGTGGAAGAGGTGAAACATGAAATGGCAGAAGCACTAAAAGGCTTCAAAATGGATGAGTCCAAAAACTGTTTGGAGCAGTGGGAAAAGGGTCTCGATAGGTGTATTGCATCAAACGAAGGGTACTTCGAAGGTGACTGAAGTTTAAACATGGAAATTAAATACACAACTTTTTATCAATAAATTTCATATTTTGGGGGGTCCCCCTCATATAGCCTTATCTATTGTGTCTGTGCACAAAGAGATGTAGGGAGGGATGTTCAGTAATGATTGACAGTTGCTTATATCTGGGCGATGGGCTTTGGGGGAAGTTTTTTCATGAAAAAAATAAACTTATGGTTTCTTAAAACTGTAGTCCTTTTTATAAGTAGCAACACCTATATGTGTTGTCATCTTTCATAAGATTCTTTTTATAAGTAGTAAAAATAAAGTTATTTTCATTTTTAAAGACTTTTAAGTTCTAGGATAGGTTTTATGCTTAGGACAGATTTTGCATGAGCATTTATGTGCATAGCGATACTGAGGTAAAATCCTGACATTGTTAGTGAAAACCACCAGGACAAAAAGGAATGTGAGCCAGTTTTCCTTTACTCAAGTCTAATCAAGTCTTCAGGTCAAAAAACCCCACAGTCATATTTTCACCTATTTTGAATGTCTGGCCATGGACTTGCCTATGTGCCATGCCACAACAGAGGCAGACGGTCCAGCCCTGCCCTCAGGGTGCTCGTGGTAGAGCACGAGCTCCCCAGTGACAGATTCTAGAGTCTTGAGGACAAAAAATGGAAGGGGCGTTGACCATAATAGAAAATGCACATTGAAGGCTCATTCTGTGCTGGGTAACGTTCTGAGTCCTCATGGCACCCTCTGAGACAGGTCCCATCATTATCCCAGTTTTTTGGAAGAAGAGACCGCGGCACAGAGAGCTTTAGCAATTTGCCTGAGTCATACAGCTAGTAAACGGACAACCACTCACTAACAATTCTGCTCTCTTTTGGTTTCATCTTTTTAGCAGACACCAAATGAGGAGTGTCTGTTCCTGGAAAGGCTGGAAGAGAATCATTACAATACCTACGTGTCCAAGAAGCATGCGGAGAAGAATTGGTTTGTCGGCCTCAAGAAGAATGGAAGCTGCAAACGCGGTCCTCGGACTCACTATGGCCAGAAAGCAATCTTGTTTCTCCCCCTGCCAGTTTCCTCTGATTAAAGAAGTCTATTCTGGGTGTTGACCACCCCAGAGGAGCCTCGAGGGGTTCTCACCTGGTTGACCTGGAAATGCTCCCTTGACCATTGGCTGCGCTAACCCCCAGCCCACAGAGCCTGAATTCGTAAGCGACGTGCTTCTCAATGCCCAGTCACTTTTCTGCAGAGCCCTTTACCCCAGCACAGTTTGGAACAGAGGGGACCAAATTGCTTCTAGGGGCCAAATGGTTGGCCAGTCTGGGTCTGGGTCTGGATGTCCATTTGCCTCTGGGCACCTGCTGCAGGCTGAGCCCCTCAATGCAAAGGTAGGGGCAAAAGAAGTGTGTGAAGGGGTCTGCCGGGTGAGTCATTAGTAACTGCACACCACCTCCTTCTACTGAGTAAGCCCGTCTGCGACTCCCCCAAACACCTGGCATGACTCCCTTTTGTCTTTTCAGTACCCCAAAGATGCCAGCCAAGAAGCTTCGAGCTAGGTTAGAGGAAAGCAGTACTGTGTGAGCAGACACAGGGACAGAGAACCTCTGTCCCTCTCCACCCTGAGAACAGAAGTTTAAAGTAGAAAGGGAGACTGGATCTTGGTGGACAACTTAGAAGGAGGGGGTTGCAAGGCAGAATAAATGAAGGAGGGGAGGCTCAGCCACGGGAAGGGAAGCCTGTAGCCTTGGGAGTGTAGCCTTGGGAGTGTAGCCCAGAGCCTTGGGAGTCTTACCATCTCCTTGACCTTCCCACGGTTCTTCAGCAGCGGAAGCCCTGAATGGCGTCAGGTGGAGAGCATGAGATGTGGTTTCATGATCAAAGCGAGGATGCCAGGTGCGGGGAGATCCCTTTGGGTCTGGGGACTGCATGTGGGAATGATAAGCAAGAAAGGGAAACATCCGCTAAACGGCTGTAATCCCCTAAAGGGGTTGATTTTAGAAGAGAGAAGGAGAGAGAAAGTGATGCTGAGAGTCGGGCTTGGCCATGCTGAGCAGAGGCTTCTGGGTCCTATTGCAGCGCTTCTCCAGTGCTGCTGTGCTTACAAGGCTTCTGGGGACCTGGTTGGATTTAGATTCTGCTTCCATAGGTCCCGGGTGGATAACGTCTACAGTTCCAACAGGCTCTGCAGTGCTGAAGATGCTGCTGCCTCCCCACCGTACTTTAAGGAGCCCAGTCCTGGTCCTGAAGAGTGCTCTTCTAATGAAGGTGGCCCAGATTCCCGACCCTCTGCTCACCCAGGCTCGCCCTCAAAAACGCACACCCATGAGTACACCTGAGCATTCAGGCAGCATCTGCAATATGTGTACCAGTGCTAGGGAGCATGGTTTGAAGGCGCTTTGGCCCAATGCCTATAAAACACCCATTTAGAAGACATACAAAAGGGTACTTCAAAAATGTTAAACCCTCACAAACAGCTTTTCCCAAGAGACCATTTGGTGTTACCATTACTTGTATAAATATGCTTCCTGCTTAAAGTAAACTTGACCCAAGTGGCTAGCAAATTAGAAACACCATTCATCTCTGACATACAATACTGATGCCATGGAAAGGCCTTGAATAAGCCATTTAAATTTACTGTGAGAATGTATGTTCTAATCACATTTTAAAATACATAGCTCAAAAGCAGTTAAACTAATTAGTATTCAGCCACTGAGAATGATAATAATAGGATACAACATGCAAGCTACTCAATTATCTAATACTTATACTACATTTACCTATAAAATGATACTTTTCTTTGTTTTCCACTGTGCTGTTGCAAATTTTCTTTTGAAAATGAGGACTTTTAAGCAATGATATAATTGTGCATAAAAAATAATGAAAGTGTGAGCTCACGTTTTATAAGAAGTTGAAGTAATTGTTCATTGAAAACCATTCTTTAGTAACTGAACTGTCATGTTTAGAATTGAAGGACAATGGCAACATGCGAAAGTTTAAAGCAATAGTGCAATTGAAGAACTGAGCTAAATAAGTTGACAATATGGATAATCATAGTATTCTAGATTTGTACAGCAAAATGATTTCATAACTTTTTTGTTTCTGTAACTTGGATAAGATGAATCCATTTTGTTTTAGTAAATCTTTGCAGGCAAGTTAGAGATAATGCAGTGTGGCTTAACATCTCTTTAGTGTGAAGATTTGACCAGAAAATGGTACCCAGAGAGGAAATCTAAGTATTTATAATGGTCCATAATTTTTATCATATGAATCAAATTCAGCATAACATTGGCCAAGTAAAATTAAATACCATTTTTCGTAGATGAGAAGTCTGATTGCAGAGAATTACAGTAGACGCACTAATGTGATTTCGGCAGCCTCGGCCCAGTCCACATTCGTGTGTTCGTTCAATGAATATTAAGTACCTACTGTGTGCCAGGCACCGTACTGGGTCCTGGGATCCCTGGAAACCTTGTCATTTGGTTTGCTGCTGTATCCTCTCACAGGGCATTATATTTATGATGAAAGATGGTGTGAATTCATTTCTTTCAGTCAGGTATACACACAGACTTTGTAGATTCCTGCTGAGTAAACAGCAAGCCCCAGACACCCAGATTTTGGAAGAAGTAGGAACCCCCAGCATAAGCTGAGCCCCCATCAAAGTGTCAGAGGATGTGGCAAGGTAAATGTAACACTTCCAACGTCAGAAACAGGCCTGCTTCGGGGGGCTGCTTTCAAATCAGGAAAAGAGCCTGTCAGGTCTTGTAAGAAGGGAGTGGTTGGTCGTTCCCTGCTGTTTTGAACACGCTCTAGTTCCTTAACAGGGGGCCCTTCCCATTGCTCTGTCTTCCCTGAGTAAGTCCTGTAGCCACCTGCCTGTCACGTGCCTCTCATGCGACCCATTTTCAGGCCCACTCTGCGCAGCGCATCAGAAGCTTGTGTGCTTCTGGTTGTGTGCATTGGTGGCGGAGGTGAGGCCTCGGGAGACAGGATGATTCGAGTCCCTGTGGTCCAACAGTGTGCCCTACAAGAAACTGACTTGAGCATCAGCCATTAATGAAGAACTAGGATACTGCTTTGTGTCGGAGGCAAAGGATCCCAAGTCCCCAGGTCCTCCGCTTTGTAGAGCATCTGCCTACAACCAAGCTTACAGAGACCTCCGAGGAAGATGCCTGCCATTATACATCATTGTCTTTTCTTGTAGCCTAGCCTGCACCTTACAAATACTAATAAAAGTTCCATGAAGAGGTGATGCTGTCTCTGAGTTTCTGAGCCTCCTGTTGCCTCCTCTGTCTGCTGGAGGATGTCCCCTGCATCCCTGGGGCATGGTGACTTTGTCTTCTACACTCATCTTGTTGCCAGATAGGAGACTTTATTTTTATTTTATTTTATTCTGTTTTATTTTATTTCTGAGTTGGAGTCACTCCATCACCCAGGCTGGAGTGCAATGGCACACTCACGGCCACCCCAGTGTCGACCTGCTGGGTTCCTGCAATCCTTCTGCCTCAACCTTCCAAGTAGCTGGAACTACAGGCACGCACTACCATGCCCAGCTAATTTTTGATTTATTGTAGGGATGAGGCCTCACCAGGTTGGCGGGGCTGGTCTCGAACCCACGGACTCAGGCAATCTATCTGCCTCAGCCTCCCAAAGTGCTGAGATTACAGGCTGAGCCGCCGAACCCAGCCTAGATAGGAGACTTTAAAGGCTGACAGGAAATGCTATGGCAGAAACGTTTTTCAGTTTGTTTGGGAACTTAACGCAAGGCCGGTGATTTTCTAGGCTTCTGGTAGGGAAATATATGTATTCAAGAAACTTGCCTCCTGAGAAGCCAGAGACCATAACTAATTCAGTTGAAATTTTTTCTTCATGACAAAAACCATGCAAAATTATGCTACTATTGTCCAAGTGACTGGTTGGTGCTTAGGCAAAAATACTGGGACCAGCCGGGCTCGGTGGCTCAGCCTGTAATCCCGCGCCTTTGGGAGGCTGTGGTGAGTGGATTGCCTGAGCCCGCGGGTTCAAGACCCGCCTGGGCAACTTGGCGAGACCTCATCTCTACAATAAATCAAAAATCAGCTGGGTGTGGTAGCGCGCCCCTGTAGTTCCAGTTACTTGGAAGGCTGAGGCGGAAGGATCGCCACAGCCCAGCAGGTCGAGGCTGCGGTGGCCAGCGGCCACTGCACTCCAGTCTGGGCAACAGAGTGAGACTCCAACTCAAAAAAAAAAAAATACTGGGACTTGAAAAAAATATTTAAGACCTTATTTACAATTTTAAGTTAATGGCAAGAGGGTATCTTTTCATCTGAAAAGCCTTGATATGGGGCTACAGATTCACCCATCAGATTTTCTGAATTATTATCCTGAGCAACATTTCCTTAAGTAAACCTCTGAATTGTTTGACTTCTTATTCCCAGGAGGCAGTTATACGGCTGCCTAGCTCATGGTGGCAGAATCAGATCACACACGTGCACACACATTTACACCTACCATGCATGCACACATCCACTCACATGCACACACATTCACTCACACATGTACACACACATTCAACATATATTCACTCACACATGCATGTGCACATGCATTCACACATACACACATCCACTCACACACATCCACTCACATTCACACACACGCCCACATCCTCTCACATATATGCACACACATGTGCACATACCACACATGGACATATCCATTCATACACGTGCGAACATACACATTCACTCATGCATGTGCACACATGCATATGTATACTAACACATGCACACATCCACTCACATGAACACAACCATTCACTCACACACACATTCACTCACACACACATACACACATATATTCACATACATGCACACATTCACTAACACACACATTCACTCACACACATGTGCACACAGGCATTCATATCCATACACATGCACACACACATGCATGCACACACGCACACACATTTACTCACACAGATGCCCACATTCACTTGCACACACACATTCACATACACATTCACAAACATGCACAGATCCACTTATGCACGCATGCGTGTACACACACTTATTCACACATGCATGCTCACATTCACTCACATGCACATATACACACATGAGCATGCACTACCTATTAAAAAGAGTTAAGCCATGTGTGCTCACTCTGCTAATCACATACCATAATCAATTCCTTCTTTTCTTCCTGAAGTTACCAAAATAGCATTCTTCTACTTTTTGGATCTCAATTCACAGTAAGAACTACATTTTCCATCACAACCTGGCACATACGTACCCTTATGTACACAACTGAAACAAAAAAAAAAATCCCATGAAACTGTATGAGATGCACTTTGATTCTTCCTTTACATTCCACCTAAACATACTGGTCAGGCATCAGCTCCACTGGGTGACAACATGAATGGGTCCCAGCCGCAGTTTGGAAAGCACTGGCATAGAGCAACTGTTCTGCCCAAAGATGGTGAGACCCAAGTGTTTTCAAGGATATGGTTTGTTCTTAAGTAAATGAGACAAGGGGACATCCTGTCACCCAGGAACCATCTGTTCTAAAGGCTCAGTTAATTCTTTAGCCCGGTTTGCTGCTAATCAAGCCAAATGAATGAAATGACCCAGGTTCCACGGCACACGGCTGCCTCCAGGGCTGGTCTTGGCAGATTTCTGTTCTTGGAAGCCATGATCCCCTACCCCTCCTTTGAAATTATTGTCACTGTGGGCCTTGAGGTCATTCTCTCCCCGACTCCCCATAATCTTCACTTTGCTCCTCTTTGTTGCCCAGCTACATTCCTATTTCTTAACCATATCTAAGAAAGTCATATGAAGTAGGCGGAACTGAGAAAAGGCCATAACCCTAGGGCCTCCAAGCATCCTCCCCAGCTCCCATCACTTTCTGGAAATTATTCTCTCTTGCTTCTTATCTACTTTAAAAAACAAAACAAAAAAACCTTGCCATTCATAGCTCATTTGTGAGCTAAAAACCACTGCTACTGGAATGTAGCTTATACAGGGTTCTTAAAATTCTCATCTCTGCTGAACCAACTCAACAGAGTAATTTTGTGCCCTAAATGCTTGAGAGCATTAGGGTAGCTGAGAATGGGCCTCTTGAGGGTGAACTTGAGCACAAAGGGAAAAAGATAAATAAAGTCATCACTTTTCCATTTATCTGAGTGAAGTCCTCATTGTCATGGGGTGGAAGGGAGGAGGAATCTCAAATCCTAAGCATTTTTGGGTGGCTGTTACATTAGCTAGCATGGTAACAGTGGCACATCAAACAAAACTGTGCCTTCAGCTGCACTTTCACAAATTAACAAAAATCATTTTCAGGAGCGGTAATGACAATGCAGAAATATTTAAGCCTAACTGAGAGCAGTGGGACTTGTATGTTCTCCAGTTCAAAATGACTAGGGATTATTAGTTTGGCAGCCATTAAAACTGAAATAATGGCTAGTAAAAAGTGGCACGCCCTCCTTCCTACTCCACTCCCTAAACCTCCACCCCCAGAAAGGAACTCCATTGTCCATAAAATGTACTCTAGAATCTACTCCGAGAACTCAGAGCTTTGGGCGTGGGGATCTGGCACCAGGCATCCCAGTGATTCAATGACCATTCTCTCCCGTTCCAAGGGAAATGTACCAAATGACTACTGGAATCTTTCTGCAACATTGGACCCACTTTGCGGTTGACATATTGACCATGACATACTACACTGTTAGCTTTCCACCCTAGTTATAAAATTAAAAAGAGAAACCAGGTCACACACAGCCTGAAGCCAGAGGGTGGGTTTGCTTTATAAAATGTGTGTTTTGTAAGAACTAGCTCTGGGGTCTTCTGATGGCTCTGAGAACGTCTGTAATGTGGGGAGGAGGCATTTCCCAAATTGCTTCCTTCCCTTTCAGCTGCCCACTGTCACACAGGCTAAATTTACACATTCAGCAGCTAAACATCGGTTCTGTTTTATTACATAAACAAGCAAAACCTCACCACGTCCTTGATGTGCTTTTCTATCAGTCTTAATGAAGGGTTGGCTGCTCCCTGTTTGCAACTGGGTTCAATTTCAGGATTTGGTTCACTTGGTCCAAGTGTCTGGGACTGTAGATGTAAATAGACGATTGGTGCAAATGGTCTCAGAAACACAATTCATTATGATGTTCATAGTTCATGTTTTCTTGCCTGAGAAGAGAATTGTTTTTATTCTGACCCAGGGATCCCTAAAAAAGATGTTGGGTCATTTTATTGATTTGCTTTATTCTCCAAAGTAAGTTATAGGAGTGTATTATATACTAATTTATTTAGTGTGGACTGAAAAAAAAAAACAGGACTTTTCAGAGCCTGGGAATATCAAGTTAGTTGAGAGTTCAGTAATTTCCTGTGGAAATGAATAGTAAAATCGATGGCACTCTCAAAATATAACATCTGCATTAGGAACAGGGATGCTAACCCAGGAAATGGTGCAGGTTTTAGGAGTGGCCAGATTATTTCAGACAATTCAGGACAAACTGCGAATCCAAGAGGGTTGTTCAGAGAGAGCAAACGAGAGGGAAACTAGTTTCTATATTCCTGGTGTTATTGGAATCTGCCACATATTTAACTGAGGTGAAGAAGAGAGATAGGAAGAGAGATTGCTTGAAAATGTGTCACTCGGCCGGGCTCAGTGGCTCAGCCTGCAATCCCAGCATTTTGGGAGGCGAGGTGAGTGAATTGCCTGAGCCTGCGGGTTCGAAACCAGTCTGGGCAATTTGGTGAGACCTTGTTTCTACAATAAATCAAAAATTAGCCAGGCGTGGTAAGCACACGCCTGTAGTTCTGGCTACTTGGAAGGCTGAGGCGGAAGGATCGCTGGAGCCCGGCAGGTCGAGGCTGCGGTGACCGGGAGCGGCCACTGCACTCCAGTCTGGGCGACAGAGTGAGACTCCAACTCAAAAAAAAAGAAAAAGAAAAAAGAAAATGGGCAACTCCCAGGAATGTGGAATATCTAGAAGAGTTTGTAGGGCAGAGGTCTGCCCAGGACAGCACAGTCCTCAAGACTAAATAGCAGCAGTCAGTTGAAGATGAAGCGTCTTTCCTCAATTGCCTGACTCATTCGTCCTTTGGTTAATCGCTCATTGTCTACCATTATATTAGTCAAGGTCCAGTCAGGAGACTGAAACCACACGGGTATTTTGAACAGGAACGTTTTTATGGAAAACAGTTAACTATCAGAAGGGATTGACTAAGGGGATGAAGAGATCACTAAAGGATATTAGAATAACGATAT